TGTTGTCAAAATCTGTCTTTATTTGTCTTTATTTGTCTAATGTATGTCTTTATTTGTCTTTATTTGTCTTTATTTGTCTGTATTTGTTTTTATTTGTTTTTATTTGTCTTTATTTGTCTTTATTTGTCTTTATTTTGTCAAAATTTGTCAACATTTGGCTGAGCTGCCTCCAAAACCTATATAAATCTAAGTCCCCTATATCTAGGTCGCCGCAACCGGTCAATGATAATTGAGGGATTCCGAGGTTTAAGTCTTTTTGGACCTCTTTGGCTTCTCGCTACTGGTAGTGACACCGAAACCCCAAGCCATACACCCTCAATCCGGCTCGTCCTTGCTAGGTAGGAGGGCAAAAAGACCCGAAACCCGATGCCGACATGAGGAGTTTCCGAGAATAAGAGGTACCCCTTCTTGGGGGGCCTCTTATAATAAGGACCCTACTACTGTTTCAGGTGCTATATTAGGGTCCCCTATTTTGGGAAACCCCCCCAGACATGAGGGGCCGCTTTTCTTTTCTTGTGAAGGACCAGGCCTCGATCCTTCCAGGCCCCCACGCATCGGCGCCCCAGGAGAAGGTCCCTAAGTATAGCATAGTATAATATGGTAGACTAAGATATAGTATAGTATAATAGAAGACGATATGTTAGAGTTGATTGGTATAAAAATTATGATATACCTTGGTATATTATGGTTTTAAGACCCAGCTCTTTGGACTCTGAGCCCTTGCTTGAACTCCAAGGTTTGCGTTACTGGGACAGAGCTCGTCTGCGCCTACCTGGGGGTATCCGCGAGCAATGCAGACTTCGCGCGTTTGCGCGTGGACCTGAGCTAGCCGGAGATCTCGGGTGTAAAATTAAAAACCCCGTGATTTTGCATGGCAGCAGTTGTCCCTTTTATAGAAAGACCTGAGAGAGGCCCAGAATGTTGCTTAACTTATCAAATCCATGTTCACCAAGTTGACCTCGCAGCTTGGATGTTGCCTGATGTAACTGAGGTGACCTTCGGAACTTGAACGTCATCAGCCTGCCCTTCACGTGCCTCTTGCCGCTGCCAAGCCGAGCTCCCGCTCCAGGGGAAAAGGCCCCCGCAGGGGGTTTAGGGTTTAGGTGTGAGTCTTACAGCCTGTGCATTCATGCTGTCACGAGTGCAGCGTGGAAAGCGATATCTGTTCTAAGCGGGAGTGAACGCAAGCGAGCGCGGCCAGACTTCGTCACTTTTGGCGAATTTCTCAGTTTCCAGAGCAGCCGTCAGAAACTCAGAAACTCTTGCGACTCTTTGGCAGGCCGTTTTCGTCGGCGAAGATCCTGCGCTGGATGGTTGGCCTTGCAGCTGTGGGCCGCAAGGTCAGCCCTGGACAGGTGGCGGGCTTTCTGACCGCTCAAGTCCCAGCCTGCGTTCAAATTATAGTTTTTGCTATTGTCATCATTATCATCATCTTCATCATTCTGCGTCTTCTAATTACAATTTCTATTCATGCTCATCTTATTCTCATTGTTGTTATGGTTGTCATTATTTTAGTTACTTTTGTTGCTATTCACTTTTTGTCATCATTCTCACAAACATAATTTTCATCATCATCATTATCAGTGGTTGTTATTTTTACTGTAAGAAAAGGAATAAGCAGAACCGTAAAATTATCGCCTAATAACACTGATGAGGCTCACCATTTTGAGCAGCATCATCATCATCATTTTCAGGAAGAATCCACTGCCATCATCATCATTGCCGATGTCATTGTCATCGTGGCGCTATATGCATATCTTGTTGACTGCTGTTCTTATCTTGCCTGTCATCATACCGAGAGTTCAGGGCATGGCATGGATGCAGATGCGAGGGACCCCTAGGACAGAGTCTGCGGACTTGTAGGCTATTGGTATTCTAGTCCTCTGGCTTTATGTGCATGTTGGCTGAATTCATCGAATGATGTTCGTGGAACTCTCAGGTGGCGCGCCGGCAGAAGTGCCCGGACGTTGGTACTGGGCTGTGTACACTGTCCCTCGGCAAGTAGGCGGCATGCATGGTGGCCTGTGCGCAGATTTCTTCTGGCTTGACCCCGGGCTTGCTACAGCAAGCATGTCCCCAAAGCCCGAAGAACTGCAAAAGTTCAGGCTTCAGAGCGCACGGGTTTGAAATGAATTTGGGTGAGCTGTGAGCATAGTTTCGTTGGGCCTTGCAGCCCCTGTAGCTGTTTAGGGGCTTCTGTAGCCAAGCTCATGCTCTACGGGGCAGCTCGAAGGCAATTCCGGGTGCCCCTGACAGTCTAAGCCTAACACAGATCACGGAGTCCTGTCTTCGGCTGGGGTTGAGTGGCTCGGATGTAGATGCGCTAATCTTACACCTTGAGAAGACTTGCTTCGTCGTGACAATAAGAGAGACAGGCAGCATAGAGCTTTTTCGCAGGGTCGTTACATCTTTGAACCTTCTTGCAGGATTGGGATATGTTTCCGTGATTCAGATTACAAGGTGTCGCAATGTGGCACTGCTTGTCCTCGAATTCCTGGCATGAGTCAATGAGATTGGCCTGGTGCGTGCAAGAGCTCAACGAAACACTTTCGAACCTTTACCCCTAAGCCGTATGCTGTCTGTTCTGCCAAACTTACCCTGCAATGCGGGCTCGTCCTTGCTATGTAAGAGGGAAAAAAGCCGTATGCTGCCGTGGCTTGCGATGTGTGAGAGCTCAGAAGGCTCTCCACTCCTCGAAGTTCGCCAAAGTCCGTTCGTTCCTGCACAGTTGTCTTCTGCTCTGAGGAGCCAGGTGCCGAGAATGTCCTGGCCAACAAGACGATGCGATTAGTACCTTGTCGATGAGAGCAAGTGATCTTACGAAGGCGCCAGTTCTGGCGGCTCTAGTAAGACTCCAGTATTCTTTGTATGCGAAGCGTACGAGGTCTTTGTTCAGTTCATGGCTGTACAGCCTGCGCAACGACCAGTACCCTTTCGAGGTTATGCCTAAACCTGAGAGCCCATGCGGACGAAAAGTAGAACTTCCTAACCCTGATCTGTAGCTTAAACCCTAAACTGACTAAAGCCATAAACCCCCGCTTGACGACAGGGCTTCATGAGAATCCTTGTCAAGGGAGTGGGTCTAGTCTAGTCTTAGAGGGCTTAGATTCAACAAGAAGTCGCCACTCCAAGAATGACCGCTGCGCTGTGAAGGTCCGCGAGGCCAACCTCATGGCATTTCCGGGTCTGCCGCCTGGAGCAGCACCGCTGGACCGAACGAATGGCCAAGCCCATGCTGCTGTAAGTTCATACAGACAGTTGTGCATCCACCTAAGTGTAGTCCCACTTATGTAACTTATGTATATATGTTTAGCATACGGTTGGTTGGTAAAAGTGGAGGTGAGAGAGGGATTTTCTTCGTGATTGCTTGCACAGCTCAAACGAGAAGTTCCTCTCAACCTCAAGTTTCGAGCCCCGTATCACGGAAAATATTCGCAAAGCCATCGAAGTGCTGGGATTCGCGGCTTCCCTGGAGCCCCTGGCTTCGACAGGACACCGGCAGCTCGGTGCTTCTGCAGCCGCTGGCAGCCACAGCCCAGGCCTTTGCCCGAGAATGTGGGTCGTTCGGGTTTGGCGTTTAGGATGTTGGCTGCTAGGGTTTAGGTATAGGGACAATATTTTATCCTTGAGCAGATGGCGCAGTGGTTGCAGCTATTTGCCGTTACCTTCAGGGGATCTTCAGCCTCAGCTTCAGTCGGTTGTCATCCACAGCTTTTCCAATGGTCTCTTGCCTTCAGAGGGGTTAGGGTTACATAGGCGCTGGCCGGCACTTCAGTCCGTGCTGAAAAGGGTTCACGTTTAGGGAGTTTTGGTCCTGAGATCCTGGCATCCGTCCTTCAAGTCCGAGGTAGAGGGTTTAGGGAGTTTAGGGTTTAGGGTTCAGGGTTTAGGGTTTAGGGTTTATGGGTCCTAGCAGTGGATTCATTTCTTTGGAACATATCTACAAACAGACACACGTATACATACATACATGCATGCATACATGCATACATGCATACATGCATACATGCATACATGCATATGTGCATACATACATGCATACATGCATGCATACATGCATACATGCATACATGCTTACATGCTTACATGCATACATGCATAAATGCAAGCAATTACACGAATAAAGGAATACATGCATATGTCTGCATATAAACATACCATAAGAACATACATAAACGCATACATATACACATATAACGATACATATGTGTACAGGTATATATATATATATACACACAAACACACCTTGGTAATGATGCCTGTGCATGTACATATTACGCACAGCTTTGGCCCCGGGCGCTGGCCCCGAACTTCACTGTTAGGCAGATGCCGGGTTCATCGTGTCTGCTTGACTTTGCCACCGTGCAGAGCCATTGGGCGTACAGCCGAGGGAAAACGATGTGTTGCCGTTGTACATCGTTGGCGTTTGTGCATGCTTGGTCGTGTCGTCGTGTATGTTTGCAGGTATGATGTATGCAGTCATGTACCCCCCCCCGGCTGCGAGTGCATGCGTTGGCAGGAAGAGCAGGCGTTGCTCTTCGCCCGCGATGTGGTCAGAGATACCTGGCCAAGGTCTTGAGACAAAGTTGTGAAAGGTGCTGGGATAAAGTGCGGTGAGAACTAATACAGTATGGCAGCAGATAGCTAGCAGCCTAAGTGCAAGTACCAGGACCAGCAGGAGTAAAGTAGCAGTACTAGTAGTCGTCGTTGTCGTTGTACTCGTCGTAGTGGTCGTAGCAGTCGTCGTTGTGGTGGTTTAGCAGCAGTAGAAGTCAGTAGAAGTACAGCGGTAGCAGTAGCAGTACTAGAGATCCCCCGCCGCAGAAGCCCAAGCTGTGTCCGTTGTGTCAGACTCTCCGATTCACCCAACGCATTCTAACGGAAAGCTGCAGCTCTGATATGGACGAGAGCGGGATATACAATGGCAAGAATTAAAGGGACACTTGTTTCACCGCTGCAACACTTGCAGCGAAGACCGTGGGCAGCACAGATGTTGCTTGCTGATGCTACGAGGAATCCTGTTGCTGTTGCTAGCTGCTTGTACTGCCTCTGCTACTGCTGCCGTATGCCCACGCCAACCCGATGCTAACGCCAAGCTGCACCTCCGGGTTCTCCTTCTCTCCCTCGAGTAGCAGCGCAAAGTCTCCGAAGTTTGGTCGATGTCGAAGCATACTACCAGCGTGATAAGGAGATGATTGCCGGAGCATCGGAAGAACCAGGCGGGAGTCATTTGCAAGCTTCGAGCGAGCAGCAAGCAGGGACCCTTTCGCAGAAATGCGGCATGAGTTTTCTACAGATTCTGCGCTCGCTTGCTCAAAGCACTTTGCATGTGCGTGCGTGCGTGTGTGTATGTGTGTCTGTGTGTGTTTGATGTGGTTTCCGGCTGCAACCGGGAGGTGTGGAGGTTGAAGCTCTGACGGATCTCGTCGGCTCGAAGCTTTGCCTGGCAGGGTGCCATTAAACTGTGAAAGGGGTGGGGCGAGCATCGCACATCTGAAGTGAAGTAAGCTGTGACCACACGGCCAAGGATGAGGAGCGCTGCTCAAGCCCGAAACTCCTTCTTGACCGAAGCAAAGCAGGACAAGAACGAGCCGACGCCCAGGCTACATTATCCGGTGAGCACGAATTACAGGCGTCCCCCTCCGTGCTTCATGCCTGTTCCAGTTTAGAGCCTTTAGAACAAGTACTGCTCGGTCATATCGTCAGAGTCCAATGCTTGATAACGCCTCTCATGTCGAGACGTGAACCTCTGCGCAGCAAGAGTTGACACCTGAGGAAGAGCAATGTCGTAGCGATGCTGACCTATGGGACAGCGGATGAGACAGATGTTGTGAACTGGCTGCAACTGTTCGGTAGCACATGCCGGGAAACACTCCTACTCAACGCGATTATCTCCATATGGCGACCATGATGGAAAAAGCAACATTATGTGCTCCGAGAGGAAGCTTGTGCTGTGTGAGTCATTGCAGTGCTGTTCTGTGAGTGTAAGCCATCCGCCAGCGCTCGTCGTGCAATTTATCACCACTACTTACATGCAAACGTGCTGCAAAGCCGTATCTCACGTTGCCACAGAAACCCTAGCAAAACTCGAAGGCGCGAAACGCCTCCCTGAAGGGTCCCAAACCTTCGAAGCTTCAAACCTAAGGAGCGCCGGCTCGAGGAGGAGCAGCAGCTTCGAGACAAGGCCCTAGGAAAAGGAAAGATGGTGCAGAGTTATCCGCGCTTCAGTGACACGTCCGGCGCTCGTGCTGCCACAAGTACGGCCACCACTGCTAGCACTGGTATGACCGGTACTGCTGCCGTCGATGCTACCACGGCTACTAGTTGCCGCCACTACCACTACCACTGCCACTAC